ATTCATTTTTACGACTTGTTTTTTTTCAAAATAGTAATAACATTTATCTAAAATGGTATAATATATCTTCCGGGTGTGATCGGGTAATGTTAGCTACTATTATTTAAATTTTTGGTTTGTGTACAATTAATACAAATTATGGGAATTTCTCTAATGGGAAACTTATACTAACTCGACACATAGGTAATATCGAATCGAAAGATTTTTGTGTTCTGAATGGTATGATAAACACGTCTGCGGTTATTTGATAACAACTAAAAATATTCACGAAATGTGTTAATTTTTCAATGCTAGAAAACTGTGCGTGAAATGAATTTCAGCCGTACAGACCAGTATTCACATGACATTTTACATTTGATACAAAATACAAAAAGTAAAAATTATGCCTTCTCCTTGAAAAAATTATATCATGCACTGTAGTACTCATGATTACATTGGGATTGTTTTCACTTTGCACGTTTATAATATGATGTTAAGAGCAATGCAGCGTTATCTGAATGTCATAAAAACCATATATAAATGTATTGGCAAATATTAAAAAAAAAAAAAATAATATTATAATAACAGCACTATGCAGCTGGTGGTGCAGCGATAGTTATGTATAAGGGACATTCTGGTCAAGTTAATTACAGAGCCGATGAAACTGGGACATTTTTGTCAACTAAAAGGTTTCAGCAAATGTTTGAAGCCGCTGAAACAATAGGCTTTCAGGAGTACGACGCAGCTTTTGTTCCCGGCGACAAAGCCCATCATGCTACCAAAAAGCTCGTCTCTCGCTATCCCCTAATATTTCATTTTTTTCCCCATTTTTTTCCCGTGTTTCATTTTTGAAAGATTTAAAACGGCTGGATTATTATGAAAAAAACCTGCAAGTAATCTCGACTCAATTCATAGAGTATTCGCGTTGTTGTGTACATCGCGTGCATATCCATTATATGTATCGTATTATTTACAAATCGTCTTCTGAGTAAAAACCACAAAAACTGTCATCAAATATTACATAACATTCTACGTTCTTATTAAATTTCGAAACAAAACATTTTATTCTATGTACAAGATTCCCCGCAGTAATCGTGTACAAGGAATTAGATTCAAAAACATAACAAGCATATGTTTCCGCTCATTATAATGATCATCGTACTGGACCGGAAGTATGACCAGGATCATTCGACTTTTCCAAAATATAATCGTCCACATGATATTATATACCAAAGTTGGTTAACCTTAACGCAAGCGTTTTTAGAGGCCACGTTCAGTTAAAATGATACAGTATATGCTTAATAAAATATTTAAATTTATGTATTTGTACAAACAATAAATATATAACTGCATTCAAATGAAAAGTAATGGTACCAAATAACTTATTTACAAGATTTAATTTTTTAATAAATATAAATATACATAAAAATGTTAACTTTAATTATATTTTTTGACTCGTAGATACAGGTACTGTTAAAATTCGACTATCCTGACGTAAGTCGTTATAGCTCACATTCGAGCAAAAATTATTAATTTGATCGTCGAGGATGGTTTTCTTCGTGAGTGAAATAATTTGCGTTTTAATTTTGTCCGGACAAAGTGAACAGTAAACGAATACGTTTTCACCAAATCACAGATCAAAGAAGAATGGGGTAGGATGACGACCAGACGTCCAAAATATTCCCCTAATCACGTGACACTATTTATATAAACTCTCGAAATAATTAATGTTTTCGAAACACTTTGCGCGTCTGTCACGACAAATCAAAACGGATAAAACAGTAGCGTCAGCGTAAATCTAGTTGAAAATTTAACGTTTAAGAGTGAACGGTATCAATCAGAAACGTCACGGATTGCCGACTTCAAACATAGAAATATAGGTAGACGTATGGCGCGCACCAAAGTTTAGTTTTTGGAACAAAGCTTCCGTGAGCTTTAAAAACAATGAAAATTATAACGAGAACGGTCGATGAGAAGAGCGTTAAAAAACGCTCGGTCTTTGTGTAGGGAATTATTTCTGTTAAATAATATCTCATCATCAAGTCAGATAGATCTGAACCGCCTACCGAGGAGTGAAAGGGAATGGAAAAGTCGAAATACCAATTATAAATCAAAACGACGTTTAATTAAGTCAAAAAACATTGGGATCTTTTCGTCCGATTTAATAATTATACGGAGTGTGTGAAATAAACCAGGTTCTCGAAAGAGGTTTCCACATATTGTGTTTTCTTTCTTTCGTTTATTAACAATCCCATAGCGAAAACCGAGTTTGAGATCATGAATTGTGCAACCTTTGACATCACAAGCGCAGTCTTAAAATTAAAAGTCGACGAACAACATCCGACGACAAAGTGATGTAATTCGACGAATTGAAGTCTGTTTCAATAGACATTTTCAACGTGATTTGCAGCCGTTTCAAAACTGATGAAAAAAATGTTATAAAATAAAACTATATGCAAAATAAATAATTTAAATTTTTGTGTGCAGACATAATGCGCGATAAAACATAATTCGCAATAAAACCGCGGTAAAATATGCGTGCGGAAATGTCGTAATATATTTACGTGGGCGGGGAACACGCGTTTTAACGCTTTTGGTTAAACGCTTACTAAACCGAATAAAAATCGACGATCGTTCGCCATTGTTAAACCGACGTGTCCAACATCTTTCCGTGTTGAGAATCTCAGATTTGGTTTTTAATATAAAAATAAAAATAAAATTTGGCAGATCCGAGAACGAGTACTCCAAGCAAGCGTTGCGCACACGAATTTCTATATTATTATGTGTCGTTTAACGCGATGCGTTATTGAGACAATGAAGTTCGCGCATGCAGGATCGCTGGCAGGTACATGTTACCGAGTTTGATCAAGTGCTTTCGATTAAACGCGCGTTTGATGACGGGACGGCAGTTACGAGAGAGTTCAATTGTTTAAAGATTTCCCTCCTCCTTGCAAATCATATCGAACCCGGAGTATTTTAAAACGGAAACAACACGATCGTCGTGACGTGTGATAAGTGTGGGGCTCTACGACATACGTACATTAATAATAACGAGTGAAATGTGTACTCCGTTCACTTGCTCTTACGACCACGGTACATGTGAGTATACATTATTTCGGTAAAACATCAAAAAATTATCTTTGTACAACGTTACTGAGCAACAATGTTTGACGAACAATTTAAAACGTTTTGTTCATAAGATTATTTCATTTAAATATAATATTATCATGTTAGGTAAGATTTTAACGTATAATAAAACGTACAATTGGTTTAAAATAAAAATGTATTTTTCCTACCATAATGATTAAATTAAAACAAAAATATAATTGTTGCGACTAAATATTTGTGTTTAAAATGTCGATGGTTGCATTATAAGTATAATTTTATCGACACTTATGCAATTTTTAACTATATTTTACTTAACCTGAGATTTTTATGCACTTAAAAACACCCTCTCTACAAAAGTAAAAAAACAATGACTTCAAAGTACGTATGTCATAAATGTAACGTAATAAAAAGGAATTTAAAAAAAAAATTAATTTTTATATCCGAGTATAGGTACATAAATATTTTATTTTTCATAATTAGAATACGCATTTTTGGTATTATTTGTATAATCCAACTAAAATTATTAGTTTAAAAATCGTAATCGTTGCTGACAATATATTTTTAGCTCTTATAATAAATGTGTATTTTTATTTATTTTTTTTAATATACCTATTGATAAATTGCGTTCCGACTAATTTCAACTAATATATTTAAACAGACTTACGAGTTACAAATATATGATACATATATATAATTTTGTATTTATACTGTTAAATGTTTAAATTAAGTTAAAATTTTAAATTAGTGTTAACGAGATTATGAAATCATTATTTTTATAAAAATGTTTACATTTTTGAATCACGTTATTTTTCATCTCGTGTGATTGATAATAGGAAACCTCAAATATTAATATAATAATACTAATAAACACCGAGTAAGTCTACAAAATACAATTATTAGACAATTTTAGCCTATGGCATAAAAATCTGTTTTTCAGATATATCTTCAAACATACGGCCCATTTAAGATTTTTAAAATATAATTCTGCATTTCATAACTGGAACTCACTAGTGTGTGCATCACTAATTAAGCTGTTCTCGAATGATTCTTAAATAAATAGTAACTGACCTCGCAAAATTACACTACAAAAAATTTCATGCGAAACTCATTTTCAATAAAAATCCCCTAATATAAGATTTCTCCCATTATTATATTCCATTAAAATAAATGATCTTCTGTATATATTACATATAAACCTCCACGTTCATATATATAACTAATTTAAATAATTATTTAATGTATTGAAAATATTGAATAAAACAAAAAAAAAACTATATCTAGATATTATTTTCTTTTATTGGTATTTTTTTAATTTTCATTCTAGTTCTAATCAATTTATATATAAATATATAAATGTTGTAAAAATTCAAATAATAAATAATTATTGGGTAAATAAATGTTAAATACGAGTAATATACTCTCAGTGGATTTTTACCATCAGGAGGTAATTTCTCCTATCATACGACTTATGTTATCAAAATTACTTGTAATGCATACTGTATGAATAGATTATCATTCCTTTGAATAAATATAAATTAAAATCAAAAATATGCATATTACAAAATAAATTGATATTATATTGAATTTGAATATTTACCATTAATTGTCATATTTATTTTCTTATCTGTTATTTATCTGATGCCGAGTAACTTTTTTCATCCCACGCATTTCGTTACATTTATTCTACTTTTACAATATTTGCTGAATGTTAAACATTTTGTCGTTTGAAACGCTTGCGCCAATGAATTTGGAAGCTCGGTAACTTCAGAATTTCTGACCCATATAATTCATCGTCTAAACATATTAATCAATTGGAAATCACATTTTTGACTGATCAAGAATAAGTAAAACTTGTAGTCTGTGTGCTGTTGTGCGAAAGAAATAAAAATTATGATTACATTTTTTTTCTACAGATATGTGGCCAAAATTAGCGTTTATCGGACTGATAATTGTTCGATTGATGGTTTCTGGCAATCCAGATGCCAAGCGGCTGTACGATGATCTGCTGTCCAGCTACAACAAACTCGTGCGACCCGTTGTGAACACCAGCGACGTTCTTCGGGTATCAATAAAGCTGAAACTGTCGCAGCTCATCGACGTGGTGAGTAATCCATCCGATACAATGGTACACGATTATACTAATATCTTTAAATAAAATTCTATATTTTACAACAGTGTTCTTCAAACTGAGCCACGAAAATTCTCTAGTATCGTGTACTTAATCTTTTTTTTAAAAAAAAAAAAAAAAAAAAAAAAAAAAAAAAGAGAAAGGTCTGAAAAATAAGTCGTTCGTAGCCAAGACGTTTGCGGTGAAAATTTGTGAAATGCAAATTGTGCGCCACATTTAAAAAAAAGTTGGAAAACCATTGCACTATACATTATAATATTACGGGATTTTCGGATTTGACGCGCGAAAAACGTCACGAAATATAATGGAGTGGCACGAAGGGAATTTATTTTTGAAGTGAAGCAAAGGACATGGAACCTATATTGTATACTATATTTATTATTATGATATTATAAAGAAGTATTTTTATGCAAAACTATCGCTCGGGGCAGGTTGATGGGGGTTAGGGAGATCGGGCTGAGAAAAACCCGTTCGAGAAACCTCAGAACGGCGTTGTAAATACATTATAAACGCTGATAACGCAGTTACGCTGACTGTGGACGTGTTGCCAGATTATGATTGCAGGACACCGCACGTTTTGATAAAACCGCATGTACAATGGAACTATAAAATTGTGAAATCCATACATCAAAGATTGCTTATAAAAACAACACCGAAACACATTGTGCATGAGAGGATGGATATGTAGGTATAAATTTTATACAGGGAGCTCTTATGTACGGTCCCTATGAGAAAAAAATTATTCCGTACGATCGGTTCGATTACTATACGATATCGATTTTATAAAATGAACTTATTTTTTTTTTTCAATAAATGAATCCATTTTATTCTGCTAAGGGCTAATACTATGCATCAAAATAATTAATAAAAGCATTATATTTTTCGTTAATTAAAATATTCCTTTTATGTTAGTATTGAACCTTTAATATCTATTGACATCTCAAAACTGAATATATTAAATAAAGAATAAAAAAAAATAAGAGTAACAAAAAATATAAACATAAATTGAAAAATGTATTACTTAATCATTTTTTGGTATAAAACTCCGACAAACTATATAATATAAAGAACGAATACAAAAAAAAAGTGATCCTATTAATCATTCCTACATCGACACCTACATCTTTATGCACCAAAACTAAAAAATAAAAATGTATCTAACGTTATTTATATCGTAATTTTAAAACGTCTAAAACAATTCTTACACATATGTTTATTAAGGATTTGAATAATGTTTAACTGCAATGTTTTCATTTATATGTACGTATATTTAATTATTTACGTTTTAACTTATTTCTTACCAAAATAAGATAATTATACTGTAATATTCATTATTTGTTTTCAACTAAAACTTCTTGCTTTAGAGCATCAAAGTATGTATTTTGATATATTACTAAAACTATATTTATTTAAATTAAATTGTAAAAGTTTCATTTGGGTGCAATCGTTTTTTGAAAAAACAAATACACATTGCACAACTTATTTTAAATGTATTGGAAATTATTTTTAACTGCAGTGTCATAATTATATCCAATAGAAAAAATTAAATGAGTTTCAAATGACTCATTTAATGCATTTATTGTATGTCTTATTACCTATATAATTTAATATGGGCACCCATATAATTATTATTACTTATATTGTATCTAATAAAAAGTGTATATTATTTTATAAAATTTCTAGGAGAAAGTTTGCATAAAAATAAATAAAACTAGTTTTTTCCCATACAGAAACTAAACAATAGATATATAGATGTTACAAGCAGTATAGAACACGTTGCCCGGGCAATTTGAACCTTGAATATACATATATAATTTCAAAGCACAAAGTTTCTTGAAAAGCACGAAATCTTGATCGTCTAATCGTAAATATCAATCATTGTTCATATATTGTTGTCTGATTGTATCAACATAGCTATAAAACTTTTATCAAACTGACGTGGAAAACAATATATACTCGTATGAAATAGAAAATTATATAACGAATAAGTAATATTGTACTGATATTTTATACTTTGTTCTGAATTATAATAAAAGTATGATAAATTATTAGTAAAATATTGTCCAATTGTAATAATAAGTATTATTAATATTTCTATTTGATGTTCAAATTGCTCGAGCAATATGTGTATTGCCCAGTATTCCATATTGCCCGTAACATAGATCTGTATAAATAAATTGTATCGATAAATCATTGAACATTTCGCAGTTAATCAACATTTATTATTTGTTGGGCGATCGACGAACATCGTATTGTAATATCATCCTAATTGGTTTGTAACAATGTCGTTGTTTATTGAACGTGTAAATGCAATGTAATTACAGTATTTTTCAAGTGTATAATAGTGTGGAAAAATAGAATATCTGAAATATTTAAATATATGTCCACTAATATTTGTGATATGCTATGTGAGAATAAGTTCGGAGGCCAGAAAAGAAAAGAAAAAGAAAATGTATTCATACATCTTTCACATAGCGAATATGGTTGTATAAATATAAGTACATAAAATACGAGCAATGAATGTGTTAAAATAGACACATCCGTGTAAGCCGCAGTGAATCTCATACAAGGCAGGTTTTTTTTCGTTTCGATGACTGGAAATAGTGTGTTTACTCGTATATATCGACTGATACACCGTAATATTTTTAGCTCGACTGGTTCAGACCGATTGATCGAGAGTTTATCTTGTAATATTCTACTTCGTTGCTTTATTGTTCCACATCCCAACGTTTCGACAGTAAAAATCGACAGATGTGAACTATAAACAAACCATTATTGTAAATTAAAAATTAAATGTTTTTTTCTTTTCTGCGGCAAATGAACGTATATTTTGTTGCTTATATGCAACGGCCTGGTTCGATATTTTCGATGTTTGAAGTAAAATAATATTTAGAACCACTGCCGACGAACTAAAAGCGACCGAACGAATTAATATAACAACGATAATTACCACGGGATAGAACTTATCGGATTCAGAGCAATATATGTTTCTGTGTCACTATTGATCACAGGAGTGATTTGAAATCTAATACTCGACTAGATTATATGATTAATTACTATAGTTGTTTCCGTGTGGTAAATGTTGAGGCGACAATCCGTGATAACGTACAGCGTAGTGATATTTGCAGTTTTACATAATATATAAGTAGCAAAGGTAGGACCTAAATCGCATATTATGAGACTTAAATAATAAAGAAATTCGGTCAGGTTTTGGTGTAGAGAGGAGGTGAGAAAATAAGGACGGCTGCGAATTCCCTAGTGGGTTTTTATAAGAAAAAAATACGCAGAGAAAAGACGTTGATTTTTATTTTTTTATTTTTTTTTTATTTTTTTTTTTTTTTTATATAGTAGGCGGTAACATTATTTTTTGGAAAAGAAAAAAAAAGAAGACTCGCACTACTTGACGTATTTTATGGCTCAAAATAATGAAAACCTCTTTTAATCTATCCTACGGACTTTTAAGGCTATAGATCGTATAAGTAAGCTGCGATAGAGGCATTGGTCGGAGCACGTGGGATTTTTATAACTCAGGAAAATAGAATTATAAAAATGTTTATAATAATAATAATAATAAAATAAAATACGAGGGGATTATCAATTTATCTAATTTACTAAATTTAAAATATATGACAAAACCTCATTTGGCGGGACTCACATTTACACTGGACTGACCATTAACTAACAATAAATGTATATTAATAATATGAATAATAAGTGCACTACTAGTTTTATACCATTCGGGCACGAACAAATAAAAACAAATTATGAAGTACTGGCCAGGGAGTATTTAAATAAACAACTGATATATTACCCTGTGTACTCATCATCGTGACATCGCCACTAATTGCGCTTCATGCCATGGGCAAGGGCAATGAATTGCGTAGGGATTCGGTAACAGGATAATGACAATACAATTGCACCCGGTGCATACACAGCGTACCACGTTTTTTTTTGCATCACAACAGTAATATTAATTTTTCCATTTCATTTTGTGTTTCGGAAAAATCGACTAAAAAGGTCGCGTTAGTTAACATCTTAATTTTCATCGTAATAATTACTATTAATATTAAATTAAACGTTGCAGAACAATTATTAAATTATTTCGATTCCTAATAAGACTTTGTGTATAATTATTATATTCTGTTCGGCTCAATAGCTCTGACAATTTAATAATATGATATTACAGTAATAATTATTTTCGCGTTTACCGCTTTGAATACCAAATATATGTATGCATATAATACGAATACCTATATGCTATATATCGTTCATAAAGTATAAACTAAAACTAATGTAATTATATTTCGGTAGTTTACGGTATCCTGACATAATATCGCCGTTAAAATATCGCATGACCAAAATATCGCAACTAGAATACCGCGAAACCAATATATGATAAAGAAATAATACTGCCGTACAATATTATCGTGTCTGTATATTAAATTTAACTTTATTTCATCTAATTGTATTCACATTTTAACTTTTTTTTTGAGAGAGTTTGAAGATTATCTTCAAGGTATTTAAATGAATATAATATATAATATATTATTATTATTTTTTTAATACTTATATCAATTCTACTGTATAACAATATTATATGATTAAAATATATTATTTATTTATAATTAAATTACTGCTATATTTTATGCTGACGATATGTATACTGGCGATATTTATTCCATGCGATATAATGGTTTCGCTATATTTTAGTTGCGATATTTTGGTCACGCAATATTTTACCGGCGATATTTTGTCAGTGATTCGTAGTTTACAAGACTTTTCAGAGCAACTCTTATCCTATTTAATAGTTTGAATTACAACAACAATAGTACACTCATGTGTGTCAGATACGATTTAATATTATTCTCTGATATACAACATTATAATACGCAGAATATTATTTCAATATTACTGAGTGTTGGTGATGGTGACGCTTTGAAACAATTAATACATTTCGTGTTTAATTCATAATT